TTTTTTTTTTTTTTTTTTTTTTTTTTTTTTTTTTTTTTTTTTTTTTTTTTTTTTAATATTCCTTACCCGAGGATATTTTATCCATGATTTTCAGAGAGAGTGGAAGGGAGAGAGAGAGAGAAACATTATTGATTGGTTGCCTCCCACACGCAGCCAGCCAGGGCAGAAATGCCTTTCTAAGCTAGGCACATAATTGTTAAGAGGAATGAAGCCCATCTATATGAACCATGTTGCAGTGGAAATATCTATTCATTGTTAAATGGAAACAGCTCATTTGCACATAGTTTGCTCCAGGATAGATCTCATGGAGGAGTGTGACCAGTCAGTGAAAACTGGGAACAGTGTCAAAAAAAGGGGGGACTGAGGAATCTCCTTTTATACTTGGGGCACCCAGACCTCTGCTCAGTCTCTCAGCACAGCAGGGAGAGCAAAACCACAGAGTGGAAGGAAAGTCCCTGGCTGTCAGTGGAAAAACATCAGAATCTGATCGCATCTCAATGGAGCCTTTATCAAGTCACTAAAATAGAAACAAAATTTTTACAAATCATCTTCACAAGGAGACAGAGATATTGTCCAGAATATGGAAATGGATTTAGAATGGCATTTTTACAAAAAAGCTAAAAATATCTGATGTTTATAGCCAAAGTAGAAGTGAAATGAACGAACACACACACACGGGATCTATTTATGTGGATATGCATATGTATTAATGCAAAATTCTCGAAACTGCTCATCATGTTAAACCCAGGAAGTAGAACCAAGGCCTGCATGGGAGAGGTTTAATCATTCTTTGTTGTATTATACTGTTAAGGTTTTGAGTTATTTTCAAAAACTTTTTAAAAGAAAAAGATAGACTTTTGAAAGTAATGAGCTTAATACAAAAGCTCCTCTAAAAAGGTGTGTTTCCCAGGGGACAAGGAGAGAATATGTGGGACCGAAGACAGATGTCTTCTGAGCACTGACTCTAGAACTGAACACTGCTTGCCTTCTTCATTCTCTGCTTTCGTGGTTGTAATGTTCACTGTTGCTAAGAAACATTGCTATTTAGGAACTCATCTAGGGTAGGATAATTTCGTTTGCTTTCTACTACAAATATCTACATGGATGTCTGGAAAAATATTTGACTAATTGAGTGTAGGAACAGGAATCCAGTACTGGAAATATAAGCAAATATCCTTTTCCTATCTGGTTGACACATGGAATTTAACTTGTATTGAACAATAGGAGAAAATTTGCTTTCTAAAAATTTCTTATGTTTTTATTGCGGTAAAATACACATAACATGATTTTTTGCAAGACCACACTGGCTTGTCTGTTTCCAGTCCTAACAGGCTCTTCCTTTTGCCTCAGAGCTTTGGCACATGTGGCTTCCTGTACCTGAATAACCTTGCCTAATCTTTGCAGGGCCAGCTCCCCTTTATCCCTCGGGTTTCCCCCTAAAAGTCTACATCTCTGATGACCTTATTTACCTAAAGTAGGTGACAGGGATAGAAGCAGAAGTGCTCCAGGCTGAGGGAAGTGGGCATGAGGCCATTGGGGAGAGAGTTTGCGTAGGAAACATTGCTCAGAAATGCAGGAAGGCTGGAGGGAGGGGAAATGAGCCAATTTAAAGTGGGGCCAGTGGGTTGCCCTTGAAAGTTTCAGTGAAGATTTCAGAGGGTGCACGACCATACCTGCTTTCTAGGAAGGGCATGCTGATGACAGGGCCAAGAAGGTAGACCAAGAAGGAGGTGGGTGCTCTCATCTGGGCTGCAGGATTCAGGACCCCAGCAGGTGCGGAGGTTGAGTTTGCCCTGGCTAGGATATCCTTAGGGAGGGAAAGAGGAAGACAGTGGAGGACGCATCCTTCTCTGGCTTCCTGTCCTTACCAAGGCCGATCTGGGTGGGTAGAGTCCTGAGCACTAGCAGAGCAGGCTCAGGTGGCCATGCCAGGCTCGCTCCTCCCTCTCCACCACTGGGGCCTGGACATAGTCTTCATAAGGTGAATTGTCGTTCTGTATTTAGTGCAAGAAACTGTGCAGGCCCAGAGTGGTCTGGTGTTGGAAACAGCGCAGGACAAAGGCAACGTGGAGCAGGCTATCCTTGAGCTGCACAAGAGACTTGAAGCTGTAAGTATAGACCCAACCCCTTTCCTCAAGTGTGTTTCTGGCTTTGTCACTAAGGCCCAGAGAGACACATTTAATGTTGCAAATTTTTAGCCAAGTACAGAAGCCAGCACAACACAGGCCCCTTGGTAACGGCCCGGGTAGAGCCCAGCTTCCTTTCCCAGGGTTCTCCAACAGGATGCAGGCCCCGGGCTGTGCCCCAGAGCGTGGCCATGCTCATCCCACCTCCTTTGGCCTGTTTGCACATTGTACTGTGCTTTCTGAGCTGCACTGTTTGTAACTCTTCTTTCTCACTGCCTTTCCCTAGAGACAAGAAGAGTTTATAGAATTGAAGTCTAGCCTGAAACACCTTGAAGTTGCAGTTGCCCTGCAAAGTAAGGACTTTCAGCAGCTGTGTGAGCAGCTAGGCCAGCTGAATGTGCCCAGCGTCCTCACAGAGCTGAAGAGCTTGATCTCAGTGCCTCGGGTACCTGTCCATGTGAAAGACAGCACCTCCCAGACCTCACCACCACTGCCCCAGAGCCTCAATTTCACCAGGCAGGACAAACATGCCCCTGAGGAGTCAGCTACGGGCCAGGCCCAGGCAATCCCTGCTGCGCGGAATCTTAGGACAGGCTTCCTGCGGCCTAGGAAGTTTGGTGAGGGAGCAAAGAGGGCAGCTGTCCAAGAAGAAGCCACACTGCTGGCAGCTGGAGGCTGCAAGAGAAACAGGCGAGCCAGAGACAAGGCCGTGCAGACTAACTGCGAGAATCAGCTTATTACTAAAACAAGCTCAGGGAACCATGGCACCAGAGACCTGGTTTCCCAAGGAGCCTTGCGGCTTATCTCCCTGGACTTAAACAACTTTGTAACCAGCCAAAAACGTCAAACCAAAGACGTGTTTTCATGTGACCCTAGTGAGCAGAGGTTGGTGCCTGAACAGGGAGGCAGAACTGTAGATCGCAGGAGGAAGGGCCAACAGCCACCCAGGAAAGCCCACAGAGGCAGGCCCCTTGCCAGGAAGCAGGAGCAAACCCAAAGCAAAGCCCGTTCTTTCAATTCTAAGTGTCCCCAGCCTCTGGATTCTGGCTCACAAAGGTCCCCCCCAGAGCAGCAGGAACCTCTTGCTCAGCCCCTGCATCCGTGTGGCCCCAGGAACCCCACAAAGCCAGTTTACCCTGCTCTGGGAGGAGCACTCACACCCAGGACAATGGAGGCAGCACAAGGGACCGTCCTGCAGCTCAATGGGCGCTCTTCCCAAGACGACAGCCAGGGTTGTAACAGTTCCAAGGGGGACCACGAAATGAGCTGGTTCAGTGACCTCAACCTCGAAAGTTCCCAGGACCCTCTCTGCAAGCAGCCGGGGAAGAATGTGCTCTATGACCTGGGTTTTGATAGCAGCGATGATGGCTTCTGACTAGCCCACAGTGGTTTCAGCTGGTTTAATGGTCTCGGCTGGAAAGACAAATTAGAGAACACTTGGGCTGCTAACAGCAGAAAGCCTGCGGAGCCTCAGGGTCAGAGGTCCTGCTAGAAACGGGGGCAGATCTGGCATTCTGGGTAGCAGGTGCTGCCCATGACAGGACACAGGGACAAGTGCATCCTGATTTACTGAAAAGAAGACGGAGGTGATGAGAGCCCGGGCAGCAGCCTGGACGTGCGCGTTTGTTGTGTTGGTGAAGGGCGGGCTGGCCTCCACAGGGAATCTTGCGTAGAAGGGTCTCAGAACCGTCGCTGCTGTAGGAGCAGGACTCTCAAACACAACACTTTTTGTCTTCAAAATATTCCCTACACATAGCCAATATCTTTCCGGGCCTCAGGATCTTTTTTTCTTATTATTTTTATCCAGTCTTGCTGCCAGAGTATTTGCATTTTTGGTCAGTGGACATAGTACAGGACACGCTAAGTCAGTCTTCTTGTGAACAGAGAGAGTGTTAAAGCTGCCAGTGACAGAGAGGTGACATGCACCAAACAAATGCCCAGAGCACCGCTGTTCACAGCCACATGATCCCAGTTTTCTTCTGGGCTGTTTTCCCCACGGCCTGCTTTCAACCACTCGCTTAACCTTAATGAGGGCAGCTGTGGGCCCTGTAGCATTTCTGAGACCAGAGGCTTGTATGAGATTTTGGCTTTCCCTTTATATCTTGAAGTTTTTTATTTTTTTGCAATACATGTTTCTTTTGTAAGAAAAAGCAAATAAAGGTAAAACTTTTAAAACCGTACTTTTTCTTTATCAGACTGATCTCTCATCACTTTCTTTACAGAAGTCAAATAGGTGGTAAGATGCAGACCACCTCATTCCCCAGGCTGCTCTCCAGGTGCTTTTGAATGAGCGACACCCTTCTCAAACCGGCTTTTCTTTTTCTTTCCCTTTATTGTATGAAAAAGTCCTCATGGGATGGACGATGTTATGCAAAGCGCTGAGTTCCCAGGAAACCTCAGTGATCTGTGTATTGTTTGTGTATTCCAAAGAAATAACCCAGAGAACTGGCTGTGAAAGACATGGGTTTATTAGGACTTATAGTAAGTCCTAATAGTGGCTCACCAGTGACGCTGAACTGCAGGAGGGGCTGCATGGGGGAGGGGGTGCTGTTGTTTAGCTGCCACCCAGCCTGTCCCAGGACAAGTTTTGTAGAGAACAGAAAACAGAAAACCGCTATGCGGGGGAGGGGGATGTGCCGGGATCACATCTAGCTGTTTGCAATCCAGGCTCACATCCAGGAGCAGTTCCTCTTTGGCCTTTCTCTGGCCAGTTCCCAAGATCTCACCGCTGGCGTACAGGTGCCTTCGCTGGGTTTCCCACCGCGGGGGGGAGCTGGAGCATCGGAAGGGGCCACGTTCCCATTTACCATAGACGGCTTCCAGAATCTGCCGTTTTCACGCTGATCCAGTAAATGGCATTGGGACCTCTGAGTGGACAGTTAGAGGAAGCAGTGGTTCTTATTTTTATATTTTCTTCAGAGGTGTGTATCCCACAAAGGTCAGAATTTAATTTGCCTGCTTCACCTCTGGCAGGGGTACCAGGCACCAGCCTAAGCTGCTCTTACTCTCGTTTCCAGTGCAAGGGTCCCCTGTGGCCTGTAGCTGGGAGTCACAGGCAATGGCAGCATCCATCTCGGAAGTCAAGGAGGCGTAGACTTGGGCCCGCCTCAGGCTGCCCCGGCCCCCTTTCCCTGTGGGCTTCACGCTGCCCTCTGCCGGCCGCCTCTGCCGGCCTCCTCTGCCGGCCGCCTCTGCCGGCCTCCTCTGCCGGCCTCCTCTGCCTTCCCGCTGGTTTTCTCTGCTGTGCAAGGAAGGTCTGGGAGGAAGGGGCCCAGCCACACCGTGGGCTCCTTCCAGCTCTTCACTCCGGGTGGCTGTCGAGTGGTTAGCATGAGGGTTGCAGACCAGAGGGGTCTATACCTGGAAATCTTTTTTCTTTTTTTCTCCAACAAATTTTTTTGAGGGGTTGGGGTAGGGTGAGGAATGGATTTTGAGGAGGAAAAACATGGGGCGGAGGAGTATGGACTAGAAAATACAAATGTAAGCTGTTTTGCTAATTGTTTTATAACCACAACAAATGAGTACAGAGAATGCCNCAAATGTAAGCTGTTTTGCTAATTGTTTTATAACCACAACCAATGAGTACAGAGAATGCCTGTACAAAACAACACAATTAAGGTTCAAGATCAAGGTGTTCCTTTAGGCAGGCTGAAGAGACTGCAATCCTTATTTTTGGATGGATCACTGGGAGTGTGGTACAGTCCATGCTTTTAATCAGATTTGAACAGAAGAATGGTCACTTGGCCCAGATGGAAGTAGGTAGAAGTGTTTGGTTTCATGTGTCACGTAACTACTGAAGTTCCTCCTCCCCACGGTGCAGTGCCCGGTGAGGTTGTACAATGTCAGACTCCTTAATATGGGCCGCAATGTCCTTCTCTATGTCATATTTCTCGAACACCCAAGGAGCACATTCCACTGAGTCCTGTTGCATCTCCCCTGACCTATCACTGCCTTTCTGTCACACATGGTTACAGTGGACCAGGGGCTGGCCAACTGCAACGGTCTCCTGGGGGAGGAGCTGGGGGGGGCACATCTTTGGAAACTTCTCCTTTTAAAAAAAATGTCTTTATTGATTTCAGAGAGAGAAAGGAAGAGGGGGAGAGAGAGAGAAACATCAATGATGAGAGTCGTCATTGATCGGCTGCCTCCTGCATGCTCCCTGCTGGGATAGAGCCTGCCACCCGGGCATGTGCCCTGACCGGGACTCTAACCAAGATCTCCTGGGTCCTAGGTTGGTGCTCAACTGCTGAGCCACACTGGCCGGGAAGCAGTAAATTTCTTTTTTAACAAGCCTGGGTTAATTAAAATTATACTGCCTGGCAATTATCAGGAAAGGATATTCTGTTTTTTATTTTATTCCTGAGGCTTTACAAAAAAAATACTGTGTTTCTGCCAGATTTGGTGAGCATGCCACAGCCCAGACCTGTCCCAGGAGCATGCAACGTTTTTGGCTCTTTGGATGCTGGTAGAGATTTGGCTACACGGGTGGATGTGGTGGGAGGTCCATGGGCCTGGGACCAGAGAGCCACCCAGGGGCTTCCCCTCTGCTACAACTCCAGCTACAGTCTGAGGATGAAAGTGACACCAATGACAGCACCTGACAATATTCAAGTATCAAGCGTCACCTACAGAGAAGCCTTTTTCTGGCCTCTCCTCTCCTGAAGCTCACCCGACCCCTGCCTGTGGCCTGTTTTACTGTCTCAGCTCCACCTGAAAGGAAGGGAGCTGAACATCAGCTCCAGAAGGCCGGCGGCTGCCCCGTGCCCGCTATGCCCCCGCATCCGGGAGAGTGACACTCGTAGGCATTTGGTACTGAGTGCCGGGACTGCCGGCCCCCCACTCAAACGGCTCCCGAAACAGGACTTGCAGCTCCTGAAAGGCCGACTCTCTAGCATCCCCGGCAACTTCCCTTTCTTTTGTCTTCAACCTGAGGCTCCAAGGGCTCCTGATAAAGGGTCTCCTGCAAGATGCCCAGGCCACCTCCCCTGCAAACCCTCTCCATCCAAAGTGTCCAGAAAACAACATCCTTTCTGCCTTCAAAAAAGCCAGTTGTTTTTTTGAGCATTTTTGAAAATTTCTTCATGCCAGGCCTCAGGCCAAAACTCATCCAATCAGACGTTTTCCAGCTGACCTGCCACAGAGAGTCCTCCCCCTAGGGCTGGGATCCATTATTGTCACGTAGATTTCCTGCGGAAATCTATAAATATTTAGATCACTCTATATATATTTAGCAGGAACCTAAAATATTAATGTTCTCCTTCATACTCCAGGGAGAAAGCGAATTGCCAGAGCAGAGCCTAGGTTGTCAGGCTGACAGCCTCTCCAGGGATCTAGTCCTGTTCGCAGCCCTCCTGCTGGCCATGGCCGTCTGTTAACCCTCCGGTGCTTCCCTTGGAGGAGGTTCCACCCTGGGACCCGGGGAGCCCCTGGCCTGGCCAGTCGGGAGGAGGGAGGGAGACTGGCTGGAATTAGGCGGGGTTTTTGCCAAGCCTTTTAATCCACTTCTTTGATCATTAACAACTCACAACTCCTCCAGGGGCAGGATGGGTTCCTGGGTGCAAAGGGGACGGGCACAGGCCCCCAGGTTGTCTGTCACCCTTCTCCTGGTCCTCTGATTCCCTTGGCTATGTCCCTGGGATTGGAAGTGGAGGGTCCAGGAGGGTGCCAAGGAGCCAGAGCAGGAGGTCCAGGAGGTGGCTCCCCTATTCCCCTAGTGAGGGGCAGGAGGCGGGGGAGCAGAACCCCGAGGCCCAGTAATGAGAAGGCAGGCCTCCGAGCCCGATGTGCTGGCTGGGGCCACACAGATGCCAAGGCCAACTAAGCAGAAGTGGCCCCAGAGCTCACCCGGCAGGAGTTCAAACTCTGGTCCGGACCCGTATGGCTGGACAGCCAGGGCCGGGAATGAGAGGCCATCGCAGTCCTCAGCCAGCCCTGAACTGTCCTTTGAAAGAATCCTTGCTCTGCTGTCAGGGCTCAGCTGTGACCGTCACTTGGCCATTCACTCATCTCTCCTTTTCCTGTCCCTTCTTCCTCAGCTGTGTGTCCCCCCCAAACACACCTCTCCTAGGAGCTTCTACAGACCAGCTCCTGCCCTAAATATTGTTACAAAGTCGACCAGTCCGCAGACCCAGCCGGGTTCCAGTGGCTTTGGCATCGGGGGTCCACTGAGGGGAGGCGGCCAGGGGACCCCCAGGCCCAGCTTTCCATGGCTTGTGCTGTGGCTTGAAGTTGCAGTTTGTGACTCGCAGGCTCCAAAGCTCTTATTAATTCCTGAAGCTGCCGTGTTTCTATTTTGATTCTGCTCATCCAAATCGCAGTTTGCTGTTTCCACAGAAACAATTCGGGTTGTTTGCCTTGCCAAGAGGGACTGCGGGGGAGAGAGCGAATGACGTTAAAACACTTTTAGTTCCTCGATCATGACTATTAGTGTCCTCCCCAGAAGTCGGGTCCCAGCTCCCTGCAAACCTGAGGAAGTCCTACGGGAATAAATGTCCTGCTCTCCTGTTCCCCCTCCAGCTGAGCCCCTGGAGACCCGCCCCCTTTCTGGGCAGGTGAGCACACATCTGCCCTCTACACCGAAGCCGGCGACAAAGGCAGGAAGGTCTCCTCGGGGCACCTCAGGGGCCAGGGACGCAGAGAGAGGAGTAGATGTCACCAGGGAAATGACCACCCTTACTTCTCTGGGACCAGGGGCGGAAGTGCAGGGCTCACCTCCTTTGCTACAGCTGCTTCTAGAGAGGAAAAGCTCTGAGTACGAGGTTCCAGAACGAACTGCCCCCGGGGTGAATCTGCATTTTCACATAAACAGAGGTATGCCTGTCTGCGCCGCAAGGGGGCGCCTGTACCCCACCCCAGCCCGACGCCCTGCTCCGCCCTTCCTCAGGACCTCCGTCTCCACCCAGGCGGAAAACCCCCTTTCCAGTCTTCTAGGGTTAGGATCAGATCCAGTTCCCAGCAGCCACCCCCATGCCAAGGCCCTGGGGGGATGTGAACTGAGTTCTGAGAAGCAGCTCTGTGACCCAGCGCCTAGGGGCAGGGGACTCCCTGGGCAGGTCCTGCTGAGCCTCCAGTGCGGCCCTGGCCTCTATCGGGTCGCTGGAGGTCAGCTCTGGGCAGGCGCCCGGTGAGGGAGGCCCATGGCTGGTTGGCAGAGATGAGGGTTTTAAAAAACGTTATAATTTCTTCTTCCTACAGAAGTGACACATGTCCATCGCAGATAAATTACAAAAGACAGGAAGAAAGCTAACCCCATCCCTTGTCTCCTCCACAATTTTCTGCTCATACATTTTCACAAACTTCCGATCAACTGCATTTAAAAAAATACATTGTAAGTTTTGGAATAACTTTAGATTTGCAGGAAAGTTGCAAAGGTAGTTTGTCCCTACCCCTCACCCAGTTTCCCTAATGCTAACGTCTTACACAGCTGACGCCTCAAAAAAGCAAGCTCCAGCCTTCATCTGGATTTCCCCGGTGTTTCCACCCATGTCCTCCTGCTCCAGGATGCGATCCATTGCATTTAGTCGCTGTGTCCCCTTGGTCTCTCCCCACTGGCCTGTGACAGTTTGAGACTGTCCTTATTTTCCACGACCTCGACAGCCTTGAGTGCCGGCCAGGTGTCCTGTGGAATATCCCCCCATCTGGCCTGACGTTCGTCTCACCATTAGACCGTGGATGTGAGTTTCTGAGCCAGAGCCCTCTCGTCACATCCTGTCAGGATGGGTGACACCCACAGGCCCCCTTGGTGGTCACTTCAGCACTTAAGCCTCTCCATATAAACCTACTCTTCCCTTCCCCTGCTCTCTTCCTCCGGAGCAAGTCCCTAAGTCCGGCTCGCCCTGGGGGGGGGTAGGCGAGGAGGGGGGGGTTGAGCTCCACCTCCTCCAGGGACAGTATCCACAGCGACTGCACTGCTGTGAGACCCGGGCTTTTGAATATCAGGCAGCTGGCACCCCCCCAGGCAGCTCCTCCTCCATGTGGCGGGCCCGAGGCTGCTGTGAGCACTGCTTCCCACTTGCTCTTGTCCTGCTCAGGAAGAAACTGGCCCCCAACTCCACAGGCTGTGTTTATTAAAGGGGCCGCCCTGCTCGACTGAGTCCGTGTCCTGCCCCCTGCCTCAGGCAGGGCAGCCGTGGCGGCTGTGCCCCCAGGGGAAGCCCATCCCACAAAGTGGCCAGGGCTGGTTCTCAGGGTGCAGGCAGGTGCCCGCATCGATCCATTAAGGAGTGGGAGTGTGGTCTCCACCTGAGCCCAGGGGAGTCACCAGGCCTGTAATGAAGGGGTGTCGCCAGCTCTGCAGCCTGCCCTTTGTGAGGTAAGTAGCCTAAAAATATCCTGGGGGTACTGGGGGGGGTGCCTGGCCACTCTGCCCTCCCCAACCCCCCACACCCCCCATGAGCTCAGGAGGCCCTTACCTGACACTGTTTCTGAGACATCAAACCTCACCCTACAGCTTAATAGGTTCCTGAAGGACTATCATGGTTTTGAGAGATTTGTCTAAACAATTTCTGATGATGTCCTTCCTTTCCAGGGGTGGGGCTGGAGCCAGCCCTAAGCTTTTGGGGGCTATGCTGACCTCAGGGGGGCAGTGGCCTGGCTCCTCCTCTCCTGCTTGTCTTGCCGCCCCAGGGTCTTTGCTCGGGAACCACCCGTGGCCTCAGGGTCGCCAGGCCTGGAGTGGGATGGCGAGGTTCAGGCAGGAAGGTGGATGGGAAGGGCCTGTGCGTCCCTCTCCCTCCCCATCGCCATCAGCTAGGGCCCAGGTGTCTGCTGCGGGTGGGGGTGAGAATGTCCTGTCAGGAGGGGACCCTTTAAGGCAACCAGGAGCAGGGGTGAGGGGATTGAGGGGAGGGGCCCAGGCAGGGAAGAGGCAGCGCTGTGAGCAGCAGGCGAGGAGCGCGCAGTGTGGAGGGCGGCAGGGGCCTGGGCCACGGTGCTTCTCTGCGCGGGTCCTCGGGTGAGCCGGGCTGGGCGGGCAGTGGCCACAGTGCAGTTAGGGGCTCACTGGAAAGACCACCAAGAGACACTGTAGAGGCCGCAGCCCACACCCGCCTTGAGTACCCGGCATATTGAACGTCAACCAAAAAAACAGATGTTAAGTGAAAAAGAAACCAGTAAGAAACATTTCAAAGCAACAGGATAAAACCAAAACAAAACAAACTGGGCTCCCAGCAAAAAGGGACACAATCAGAATGAAGGGTGTGGTGATTCGGGTGCTGCCCACCCTGTGAAAAATGCGACCGTGGCTGTGACTGGCTGCTTCTGCTGACGGCCTCTGCGGACGCCAGCGCCAGCCTCCTGCTGTACAGAAACAAAGCCCGGCTCAGCTGTCCTACTCGATTTGGTATTTGAAAGAGCCCATCAAATTGTAGTCTTCTTCCAGGTCCAGAACCGTCTCGACGACGCTGTGATCGTCGAAAGCCTGCCCGAGGCCGCCGGGGTCAGCCACCAGGGCCTTCTGCGGGCTCTCGTCCATGAGCAGGGCCCAGGCTTCCTCCGTGAAGGGTGAACCTCCGCAGGGATCACACACGCGGTTCAGCTCGTTTTCAAATTCTAGTTTCCCAGCCAGTTCTTCAATAGTTCGGATGCTTGTACTGTCTTAAAAATAAGAACATTCAGCATTACAGTTCCAGTGAGACGTTTCCAAAGACATTTCAGGCACAAGTTGAAACCCACAGACGGGCGGCGCTCTTCTGGGTTTATACAAGGCCCGGCAAGTCTGGCAAGTCTGCCCTGGGTGGGGCCAGCAGGCTGCCAGAGCGAGTGCCAAATCTTAAGGTGGGCTCGGTGCCCTCCTTTCTGGCTCCAGCATTTTGAGCCCAACTAGCTGCCAGTCCCCAAGGAAGGTGTGAGTGGGAGCATGCCTACTTGTCCTGGCTCTTAGTAAACTCCCTGACCTATAGGGAGTGACAAGACTGTAAAAAACGGGGTTTTGGAGTAATCAAAATGCTGCCTGCTGCTGGCAAGGGCCTGGGAAGATGGTGAGCAGAGGTGGCGATGACTTCAGCTCACCTCCTGTGGTGACTAGAGGAGACTCAGTCCACTAAAGTGGTGGGCTGGCAGGGGTCTTGTTTTGTGACCTAAGGCAAGTACCTCCCTTCACCGGGCATCTCCCTCATCCCCCCTAACGTGGAGGCCCTGCATCCCCTAACTAGGAGCTTGTGTGCACAGCGTAGTGGGAGCCATTGAAAACAGGGCTCACATAGTTCACCCACAGGCTATACAAATGTGTGTGCAGGAAAAATGTCGGCCCAGGGATGCGCTGTAACTAGGCATTTCTGAAGCGACTCCACCGGGCTATGAGCTCTAGGGCTCTGTGCACAGCGCCTGCCGTGAGCAAGGCCAACCTACCAAGTACAGGAATGAGAAATGAGTGTTTTTCCCTGGGACACCCGCCAACACAGGGCCTGCTGAAGGACCTCTCCTCCCAGGCAAAGGACAGAGCAGCCCTCGGTACTCACCGATGATATCCAGCAGGTCCTTCGTCACCTCTTGGCCAGCCCTGCTCAGTGGCATATTTGAGTCAACCTTCAAATCTTTCTCTGTATCTTTCCTGCAGCCCCCGGAGGGGTGAGAAAAAGGTGGAGAATTAGACCCTCTCTCGAGAAAATACTGAAGAGGATCTCAGTGCTAGGGAATCTCTAAGACAAAAAGGTACTGGCAGCCTCATACCGTCCCTTACGCTGTGATTAGAGGACAACTGGAAGCTGCTAAATCAGGGACACTGACTAACAGCAGCATCAACGACCCCTGAGCGTGTCTCTGAGAACCAAGACATTTATAAAGTTGAACCAGGTAAACTGCTTCTTCATTCTGCCTACATGGCAGCCAAGACGGCAAAGCCTGTTTCATGTCCGGAGCCGGGCAGTTTGCAGCCACCTGCCTGAGAGAAGGAAAGGTCTAGGGGAGACCTTAAGCCTGGGGCAGTGGAGAAAGCTCTGGGGCGGGGCAGGGAGCAGAGGCAAGGCGGGGGCCAGCCACTCACCCCGTCCCCAAGGTGGGCCCGCGGCACCAGAGTTAACGGTTTTGTTTCTGTGGCACAGAAAATGATGTGACTTGAAAAGTCAGGTTAACATTCACTACTCCTTTGGGTGCTGCCAAGCGCTCTCCATGAGCTCTCACCCCCTCCACCCCAACACGTGCGCACGCACACACACACACACACACACAAGCACATGCACACGCACGCACGCGCACACACAAGCACATGCACACACACGCGCGTGCACGCACAAGCACATGCACACACGCCCACACGCGCACACACACACCCACACGCGCGCACACACAGGCATATTTTCTGGGCCAGATTCTGCAGGACGCTCCAAACTTCCCTAATAGTCCTAGAGCTCCCCAGGGCAGGCAGGGGCAGTGTCCGGGGCTGGACTAGGACCCCCAGGAACTTTCCGGAAACGGCCTCCTAACTGTGGCTGCGGCTGTCGCCGGAATCACCTCAGGCCGTCTTTCCTCCAGCTCTCCCCATCGCCCGCCGATCTCCAAAACTGTCTTTCGGGCGCCAGAACGGAGGGCGGCGCCAACACGTTCTCCTTGCTGGTCAGAGGCTTCCTCGGGGCGCACGGAGCGGGCGGCTTTGCACCCCCTGGGGCAGGGCCCTCGTTC